ATTGTAAATAGTTACTAGGAGGGCAAATTTTAAATAATAATCACAATAAATATATAAAGATTCTCAACACCATTGAGAATCTTTGGGATGTGCTAGAGAGGGCTTTGCGCAGCGGTCAGACTCTACCATCATCAATGCAAGATCTTGGTGAAAAATGAATGCAACACTGGATGGATATAAATCTTTTGACATTGCAGAAGCTTATTGAAACAATGCCACAGCGAATGCGTGCCATATTCAAAGCTAAAGGTGGTCCAACAAAGTATTAGAGTAAATGACCTTTTTTTTGGTTGCGACTTTTTTTTTTGGCCAGGCAGTGTATTTACTAATAGGTGTATTTCTGAAGTTAGTTTGTTGCATTTGAATGTATGGTAGGATAAATGGAGATGAATACAACATTAACTTATCTTTTCATTCAAAATGATTTTGTAATTCCCCTGCATCAGCAGATGCCATTTGTGGTAGTCTGTTATATAGAATCCTAATAATACACTCTTGTTTGCAGTTATAATACAAAGGCCATACAATGTTATGTTAGAAAATATAAATCATATAAAATATATACAAATAAAAAGATGATTAAAAAAAACTTTGTATAAGACATTCAGTTTTTTTCTTTAAGGTTAATCTATATCGTTAATCTTTTCAATGATATATAGCAGTTAAATATGCTCTCTGAGATTAGGATCGGAAACAACTCAGTGGCTAAAATTACTTTGACCTTATTGTGCGACATATGTTGACTGTCAGCATGCCCAGCAGGAATAAACTGCCACCCATCTTCTACCTTGCTCCAGCGCTTAACATAACATCTAAGTCATCCCGGCTACAAAGCAGCACAGCAAAACTGGAGTCTTTCCTTCTTGATGGCTATCGGTGGTTTCAAATTATGTTCAATGACTGACAGATTTGAGGTCTTGTTCAGGGTTGGGATTTAGCATCTTCTATGAATAGAAAGCAGTAGGATTTCTCTATAGCTAAAGAAATAAAACTGATTTATTTAAACACAAAAAGTATAGAGGACATTGTATAAGAAACCAAGCCTCTTTATCTCTTTGAGGTAAAATAGTCCCCCAACTCATCTATTTACCTTCATATCTTTTTCTTTATAGCTTAGAAAAAAGAGACCAGAGAGCTGCTGGAGTCTTCTTCCCCATCAGTCTTTTCGATAAAAGCCATAGAGTTCATATTTCTTGTATAAAGAAAATCCCATATTCTCTGTTGTTCAATTTCTGAGATGAACCTCTTTACAGCGGGGGATAAAGTGTCATTTTCAAAGCCAATTCATAAATGAGAATAAGATTGCACACAGCAGTCAATTCAGTTATAATCTTCAGAAGAGACAATTGGATTCTCAATTTTATGCTTATCAAATTTGATCAGAGGCCCAAAGACTTAAATTTGACAAACATGCAAAGCGATGATTAAAGAATTCTTCAGAGTAAAATTTTATTTAGCAAATTACTGAAACAACACAGAAATACCCAGTTAAACCCATAAAGCCCTATCTGATATTTGTATTAATTGGAAACTGTCAATAAATAAAATTATTCAAACTCTGCTATTTCATAAAAAAAAAGTGGTTTAGAGATTTGAAGAACAGATCAGTTGACATTTTTTGATGATTATCCCACTTTTAAAGGGATTAACCAAATTATAAGTGAAAGCCATGTTGAGACGGACAACCACATCCATTATCTCTTTAAAATATATCTTGTAGCACTTTTTATCTTTGGCTGATTCCCCACTTGAGATTTGTATGGAAATGCTGAAGATTTATAAGTCAAATGAAATGACTAGTAAGATATAAATCCTTGACTAGTTGTGAGGCATTCCTTATCTCTGTGAATAATAAAGGTGTTTTTGTAAAAAAGTCCTATATGCCTTTTATTGTACTGTATGAACTTGCACCAATAATTATTTCACTGAAGAAACAGTTTTAGTAATTTTTATTTTCATAAGAAAACTAAAAATATGTGGAAGAAAAGTCGATGTAAAAAAATAAGCTTAGAGTTCAAAATTTAAAGATGACAGCCTTTGCAGAGATAATTGCACAAAACCCACAATTAAAAAGATTTAGCAAAGGTTTACTATAAACAATATTAGCCAAGCTGTTGCCTTTGCCAGCCCTGTATTATACTGATTACTGAAAATGATCCTAAAACATTATAGTTAAAATACATAAAATCTTCTATTACACATGGGGCAATTATAAAAGCTGGTTTGGATAGATTTTCCCTCTTTATAAATGGAACTGAACTATAAATTAGAAATTATTTCTAGTTCTTGCAGGGGTTATATTTGTTTGATAGCAAAATTTGTTTTATGTTCTGAAAGATTTCATTGACGGCAATAAATAAAAAAGCACAAAAATCTGAAGGATACTGTCAGAGAGAAAAAACTTTTCTTCTGGAAATATGCATAAATGATTCCTTGAAGAATATATGCATATATGTTGCTTGATGGAGAAAGTTAAAGTCCTTTTTCTCTTTGACTTTACACCATGATCCTGGCCTGAAGGAAAATAGGCAACCAAACCAATATATTCAGCTGAATGGAAGGGTCAGAAGGTCAAATGTGGATCCAATTATAATGCAGCAGGTACAGTATATCCTTAAGTGGAGAATAAAAAAAAAAAAATAAAAAAAACATAATGAGACACAACAGGAATAATGCTCACTTGTTGAGGTAGATCCGTTTTTCTGTGAACTGTCCAGATCCGTGCTCAGGATCATCATAGGGCTCGTTCTGCACCACCTCCACACCTTCACCTCGTTCGCTTTGTTCGTGGCTGTGTTTGCTGATCATGTACAGCTGGCCAATACGATACTGAAAGAATGAGAGAATGAGAGAGGAGATGTGAGCAGAGAACTTTAGGTTGGACCAGTCAATTTATAAAGGTGATAAGAGATAAATGTCTGTCAATCCGAGCAGATTAATGTTTGTTTTTTTTTTTTCCAGGAGACAAAGCAGAACATTTTTAGCTACCTTTATCATCAATATGTGGATAAAAAGCTAAATTCAAGGTGCAGCTTGAAGTAAAACAATATTTCTAGTGCTCATGACTTGTTTTGCAGCAGATTGATTATTGCCTTTAAGAAATACAGTTGGATCTGTTTGAGGCTGCTCCATAGTAACCATCCATACCAAACAGAACAACAAGAAACAGAGGCAACAACAGGTTTGGTGACCCTCTCCCAGGGCCTCCCAGTGATAAATCAGTCAGCACCCACAATCCTTCACTCAGCACTGACTGACACACTTGGCTCTGTCACAATGTCACTTTGAGCTGCCTTGACAGGCTGGACTAGGGTTTCACATGGCAACTATTTTCCATACATTTGGAAAACGACAGGCGGCAGAGAAGGGATGCTCCATGACAGAGATTTCCAACTGCTTGTAGACCTATTTCCGTGCCTGGGGAAACAGATACAGCCCTGTGACCTATGTTGCTGTGCTGAAATGCTAAGGGGTCATGCAGGACTCAGCTGACAAACACTAAACCATATGTGTCCCAACCAAGGATAGCTGTGTTTAACTAATTGGAGAAAAAAAATAAATAAATTCTGTACATCCAGCTTCAAAATCCTGATGCACGACACAGAAATATAATAGCATATAGAGTAGAGTAGAGCAGGTTTAAATAGGGCGACATGCTTAAAGTATAAGTTGTTTTTGTGTGATGCCAAATTTTTCAGTCTGTTGACCATGAGAGAAAACTAATGAAGTGTGACAAAGAAATCCCAGCAGGGATGTTGATGCCCGTGTTTCCGACTGCACAGCTGTTGCAGTCTGGCAGAAATGTAACCGTGCCACAACAACACTGTCATCGTACAGGTGAGGAAAAACAGGAAACTGATTACTGCTTGATTTGAGGTGCTTATGAAAAATACCAAACATTTAATAGTTCCAGCTCTACTAAACATGTGCTTGATATAGTTGTAAACATCAATACAGTTGTGGAGGGGAACAGTTTTTGATTCCAAAACAAACTTCTCTGTTTAACTCGGTTTTCTTTAGTCCAACTGTTTTTAATATTCTTTTTTTTTTCTGCATTTTTATTTATTTATTTATTTTTATTTATTTATTTTATTTATTTATTTTTTTCCTACTTGCTTTGATTTTGTTTTATTTTCCTATATTTTAATCATGTAAAGCACTTTACATTGTCTTTGTACTGAATTGTGCTAAACGAATAAATTTGAAAGGCATGGCAGCCTTTAACAAAAGGCAGAAAAAGGACATTACTTCAGTAAAGGGTAAGGCTTTGACCAAAACTGGATTTTTACTATACTTCCCCCTTCAAAGAAAACACCTAACATGTTTCTGGGTCCTTCTGATATGTTTTTTTTTTTACCACAGTTTGCTAATGATATATATGATAATGATAATGATATATATATATATATATATATATATATATATATATATATGACAGTCTGTTGCTGTAGGACCTCCTTTTTTCAAACATTATTTTACCCATAAACTATTTGATTAAATACTAAAGACGTGAAAATAAAAGTAAAGAGGAAATATGTGAACGTAACATTTTTGTTGCGTTTACATATTTCCTACATATTTGCTTCTCAAGAAGATGTCTACTTTAAATCCAAAGTGTGTAACTGAAAGCAGATCTTTGAATTCTCAACAGATCACAGCCGGCGACCCACAAAAAACATTTTCTGTACCAAATTGTTAATGTTTTGATTTGTATGCTCTTATAATCTCATGGACAGAATTTTAAATCTAGAGGAGACGTTTTTTTTATGACCTCAGTTCGGGGTGTGGGGACACAGAGAGCATATGAATCTCCAGCCTGGATGAATTTTACAGAGACAAAGTGCCCACTTGAGAAGGCAACAAAGCAGTCCCCTGATCACTCTGATGGCAAAAACCGGAGAGAATTAACATGAAGCACCATCCCTTTTCTGTCGTCCTTCATTAATTCAGATTTTGGACATTTTGTATAAACAGGCAAGCTATTGTGCCAGGCTTCCTACCTGTCATTATACTTTGGCTGCTTCTGTTGTTTGCCTAAAAGCTGCAGTTAATGAATGAGAAGCAGCTTTCATTGTTATCTTTGGAAATCTCAGCCTAATGACAAATTAGGAAAAGTGGCCTTGGCTCAGGACGGAGTTGGCCACAAATGATGGTTTATTATTTCTGTTTCTTTCTCAACAATGGAAGCTAATCCGTTGGATCAGATGACGGACTGACAGGGTGTTCTTTTCTATTTCAGGTGCAATTGCTCTTCTATAGCCCTAAAAGTCACTCACTGAATCTGCCCATTTTCTTTTCAGCTTCTTCTGTCTTTTTCCTCCCAACATTTATCTTTAAACTATTCTCTGAGCTCTCTATGTTTGGTCCGTTACACCAATTCAGTCGCTCTCTTGTCTAATTCATTGCATAACTTTGAATTCATGTATACTGTAGTAGGTAATTGTGCCGATTCTCCCAAAGCTCCTTGTTGCAAGAAAGTCAGCTGAAGGACCCTGTAAGTGAATGAAACTAGTAAGAGAATCAAACTAAACAAAACCCATAACTTGATTTTCATCTTTTGCTTGTTTGTTTCCTAATGTCTGATGAAAAAAAATGAATACACTAATATTTTAGTTTGATCAAGCATAACAGATATTTCAAATTGTCAATGCTAGCACCACACAAAGGGAAAATATTAATTTCAGTAGATGTTTGCAAGATAGAATAAAGAAAAGTACAAAAAAGTCAAGGTTATCTGAAATAAAGGACTCAATAAATGGGAGTTTGCCATTTCTGTAAGCATAGTAAAGCAAAAGACACCTGATTACATTTAGGATTTGTAGCTGATGAATTATGTTTAACATTTAAGTACAAAGCCTAAGTGCATGTTTGGAAAGGAAAAGATCAAGCTCATCACGTACAAACCCAAACTGGGAGTCTCTGTTTTTCTGGCTCTTTTTTTCTAACACAGCAGCTGGTGGTGGGAAACTGGTAAACGTGCTTTAGCCAAGAAATTTGTTACTGCGAGAATATAGCCAGGATCCTGCAGAGCACAGACGCATATTTACAGAAATGGACATGGTAATGTCAGGCACAGTGATAAGATATAATTAATATTCACGCATGGACAGAATAGTTACAGCTCTGAGAGCTCAGTGTTGTGGGATAAACGAGTGTGCTCATGTCGAGACACACTTATACAGCCACAGTTTTTGATTCTAATATATTTCCTTTTCCTAAAGAGTGAAATTTACAAATGCAATTAAACAAATAACAGGCACTTCTTCATAACAGGACACTCAAGAAATTATTCCTAATCTATTTTGTTAGCATCTAAAGGGTATGTATTAACAACAAGTCATATTTTATTGCCGTAACATGACATTAAACAGAACAACATATTGTAACAAATCCAGTTCCTAAAAAATCTGTATAATTCCAGTATATCTTTAGATGTACACAGAACTAACTTGAAAACATTTAATCAGTCATATATTAACTTTTGGTTCTAATAAGATTTAAATATGGCATGACACAGATGGTTTCCTTAAAACGATCTTAAGAAAATTGGAAAGACAAGAGTTATGTAGGTGCATTTTGCTCTTCGCAAATTTGGAAATTCTGCAAGGAAAATAATATTCACCTACAGTACATACTTATGCATATATTTAAAGCATTGAATATAAACAGTTCCAACTGGAACTATGCTTTCATCATATGTGACCCCGACTGAGATTTCCAGTATCAAACAATCTGGATGGGTCTGACAAAAACCACTGAAAAGCCTCTGTTGAATACAGCAGATGATCTGTATCTCTTCCAGAGGCCTTGAGAAACATCTTAGACTGTATTGCACCAAACTCAAAGAAAAATATTCTGACAGAAATTGGGTCGTCAAGCAGTAAAATGATCCAGAACCTACATGAGGTCCAAATTTACCAACAGAGGAGTTAGTGTTCTGGAATCTTATACTCACTCTAGACAAAGCTTTGGGAAGCTTTACTGAGGCTAACTGGACAAAAAGTTTAGAACTTGTAGCCCTTTTCACAGGGGCACTTTTAGTTGTTAAAATGGTTAAAGGAAAATAAAGATTCATTAACGTGCCAAAGAAGGTAACATAAATGGCAAAATGTTTTCATTAAACATTTGCACTTATATATTTGTTGGAGTAATACACTCATAATGTCTCTTTCTATCTCTCCATATGGTGGCTTAGGCACCCTAGCAGAGGACGGTGCATATTGAAAATCACAGAGCTTCTACCAGCAGATGCACACAAACGGTGGCCAAGCTATTTCCAAATCAGGGACTGATTTATTTACACTCACTTTATTTGAAGCTAATCTTTCACAGGACAACCATACGCCAACAAAAGTACATCCTGTATCTTAAATGAAATACCTCTGCCGAAACAGTAGTATGAGTAGACTGGAGTAACACCACCACACTGAACATCAATTTGTGTTTAAAGCCGCAAAAAAGAACACAGAAAATGAAGTTTTCTGCCTTTTCTGCCCCCCATCCTCACACATGCCAAGTCTTGAAGCTATGTCAAATGGCAATCTCCATTTTCTACAAGACAGCTGGCATCGTTCATTACCTACAGAATTCCATTAAGAGCCCCATTAAAGACGCCTCTGGCAGAGCTGCACAGGGTCTGTCTTTGCTGTAAACATTTTATCATGAGCAGTGGATCCTCATGAAGACAAATGTAAACAGCCAGGTTCAACTCACAAAGTCCAAGGGAAGACATATGAAAACATTTCTCTAAATATGTATTTCTTTGAGGGGATATACTTAAATGTGACATGACACAGAGTAAGATACAACTGAGAAATTAATATATTCTAAACATGGCTAAAGTATTCCCGTTTAATTGATTCAGAATAGAATACATCCTGACCTTAAGATTCACCTCAATTTAAAACCAGACACCAGAGATATAATGTGTGATGGGAAGCCTGCAGAGCTCATTAGGACAGATTCAGCTCCATGGCAGATGCTGCTATTTCTCAAACATCTGTCACACAAACACCAGGCACAGATTTCACTTATCAACCTGCATTAAATCCTAGTTAAACAGAACGTTGACATCGAAAAAGAAACACAATTTTCATTAAGAAATCTAAGTCCTAGCCACTTACATTTCAGTAAGTTCCTCACTACGAGTGACGGGAACAAACAAGCTCAAATTCTATTCATTAACACCTACACTACAGCAAGGCTTCCTGACTTTGCAAAAAACACAATTCATCTAAAAAACCTCAGAAATGTAGTTTTTATCTACAATGGATAAAGCAGACCCACATAATACACACACAACACCACACATCACTCTCTGCTGTATCAGCAGAAATGTGGGAATGCTGCTGAGAATGACCAACCCACGCTGACTGTATTTTACTCCATGCTTGCTGAACCAGCATAAAGTCAAGGTGAGTGTTAATTCGCTGCGAAGCTTTGACAAATTCACTTGGTGTAGAAGGTGAGCAGGGGACAGTAACAGGATGCAGAGGATGACAGCTGTTGGAAGGCAGCAATATGGTACAGCAGCTCGACATTAATGGATTATGTGCAACACAGGTCTATAGGCTGACTTCTACTGTGGTCACAGCATCACAAAAATATACTTGTTGGCATAACAACAAGCACAATATCTATTTTTGCACAACATACATAAACAGATACCTTTAATAAAAACAACAGCAGAAAACCCAACTCTTCTCATAAATGCGCTACTGTACAATGTGTTGAGTGGTGTAGTTGTGAGAATGCCTTTAGCCTGCTTCTCTACTCACTTTTTATTTCCATGTCCTCTGAACTGGAGCTTATATAATGCCATGATCACTCACCACAGTTCACCCCTCTGTGCATCATCTTTATTTCCTTCCTGACAGCATGCTGAGAGGCCAATGGAAGTGATGTGTTTATGCATACATAAAAAAGAGATAAAGGATTTAATCTAAAGAGAAAGAAAGATACTATATATATGTATCTATATATATATATATATATATATATATATATATATATATATATATATATATATATATATATATATATATATATAGTATCAAGATAAAATGTTAAGGAAACTGCTTAACTGCTTTGACATTACATAACAGGACTTGATTGAACGCAGCTGGCCTGATAATTCTCTTTTAACAAATTGTTTGTTAACTTACTTAAGATTTGTATGAGTGTCCACTTAAGTTCTTTCTCCAATGATATCGACATTCTCTGAATAGCAAAAACCAACCGCTGAGTGGCAGGTTTCCAGCTAAAAAAAGTATGGAGACATGGCTTTAATCAAATATACTGCCACAAGTTAACTGCACAGAGTGATACGTGGTTGGATCTATGTTAATCAAGTTTTTTCATATAACTGATATTAAATTCTGTTTTGCAGCCCTGTTCCTCTCTGCAGTTTTTGATGAATGTATATATGCAAAAGGCGTAAGGCACATATTTCGTGTCCTGAGTGATACCTTTGTATAATGAGATAAGTTTGATTATCTGAAGTGTCTCTGAGAGCTTTGCTCAAGGATGTAGAGAGCAGAGTCTGGAAAATCCGACCAAGAGAATAAAACGTTATCTTAGCTTTATCAAACTCACCATACTTTATAGAAGTTAAGAAATGTAGAAAAATAATATTGATTTAATTGTCTCTTTTTCCCATTGTTAGAGTCTAAAAGATTTAGCTTAATATTATTACCCAATATATACAATCATTGCATTACGTTAGGTTAGGGATTCAAAATAATCTGTGGCCTTTTATTGTGGGCAGTCTAAGGCACAACTGTGCACTAATCATGGTGTCTAATCAGCATCTTGATATGGCACACTTGTGAGGTGGGATGGATTATCTCAGCAAAAAAAATGAGGGGTAAAACCAAAAGTGTTGCATTTATGTCTTGTTTAGAGACAGATTTTACTCCAAACTCCTTGAGATGAAAAATCAAGTCTTGAGTTTTTACAGGGATAATCTAAACACCCCCTTTCCCTCTTTATCTGTTTTCAGCTATTGGTTCCTTCTGTCTGGTTTTCTGGTGTATGGTCAATGATGTCTGTGAAGCTGAATAATACACTGTGCTTCTTCAGCTTCTATACTATGTTTAAGAGATCGCAGTGTAGGGTAGGGAAGGAAAGTATTGTAGTGTATTACTTAAATTGAAAGCACCATGGAGTGCTTTAAAAAGCTGTGTAGAAGCCCAGCTGGTGCAAAAACTCCTCTCGACGGGGAACCTCTGCTGGACACAAGACATGCTCTGGTGACTGATGGACTCACCCATTTTAAACACGATCTGCAGTGCTGGATTTAAAGGTTTTCCACATTTCACTGATACATCTATAGTGAGTTGCTCTTTACAAGCATGAGTGCTCTTCATCAAATACATACAATTAAAAGTCTGGCATCCTATTAAATTTTAGTTTAGCAAAGTGTAAAATGGTTTTAGAATTGAGAAACACAGAATGACAAACCTTCCGTGAAGCGTAAATTACTGCCCTATTACAGAATAATTACACATTTCTAAATAACAAAAGCTCTCTTGCAGTAATTTGTAGACCAAACCTCGAATGACAATATGTACTGACTGTCACTAAAACATTTTAAGATTCAGCACTAATCAGAATTCAGCACAAAGTCTTTGAAGGTAGTCTGACTTTATTCTCTAATACAAATATCTTATAACATTCTCCCCCCAGGAAGAAAATGAATTGGTTATGAAAGGCAATGGTGCATTGCACTGCTGCAATGGATAGGGATAAAATCCCAGCATGCGTGTTACATTGTTATTACATGCCCCTTGCTGTGGGAAACCTTTTTTATTTTAATTTTCAAACTGTGAATGACTATATTTCAAAACTCAAGGAAAGAATTTTTGCATTTGCAAACAGCTTGCTGGTTTGAGGAGACAAAGAACAGGACCCGTATGTGAGAGAGCATATGAGCCAAAAACATAACAGAAAGGTATAAGGTTTATCATGCTAAAAATGAGATAAACAAATAAATAAAAGAAAAAGAAAACATGAACCTGACTGAATACATAAATGGTGCAAAGCAAAAATAAATAGCTGTTTGCTCTTGAAATGATAGTGCATAAATAGATAAAAGTTACCATAATGTACAGCAGCATAAGGATTTGAGCTGGGTACAGGGTTGTATTTGATTTCAGTTGTTTGCCATGGAAATCCTTATTGGTATAATAACAGCATTTCAAGCAAAGGGTAAAGCAACAATCAATAGGTAGTTTTAGTATGTATATAAAAAAAAGATTGGATCCAAGAATGTTATCATTTATTTTATTCCAGACTCCATTCCATGCTTGATTCAAAAATATATTGAAATATAATTGCTTCCCTGATATCTATTTACTGCTCGCACTAGGTGTGAAACAGGCATTTTCCCCCCCACATAAATTCAGCTGCATCTCAAACGTCCCTCTCTCTTACGTAAACCCCCACCCCACCCTATTTGACTTTGGAGTACTTTAAGGTTTCAGCATGGGGAAAACCATTGCATATTTTATGCATGAAGGGACCAAAGTGCCCTTTTCTATGCCCTCATTTTGATTTATACTGTAACAGAAGGAAAAAAAAAGTGTAACAAAAATATAAAAAGAGGTTTTTGTTTTTCTTATTCTTTTTAAACTGCCTTTAACATTTCTGTCCATCTTGGGTTCCATGCTATTTGAGAGAGAGTGAGAGATTAATGAGGTTCTGCATCATTAATGTCAGCATCAATTCAATTATAAACATACCTAAAAAGTCGTGACCTTTAAAAAAATCAACAGGTTGATGGAAGGGAAATTCATTTGTTACTTACATTGTCTTTGGGTGTATGTGTCAGGTATGATTCCTATTTGTTCCTGCCTGTGAAGCTGCCTGTGAAGCTACTGTGCACATGCCCCCTCTGCTCCACTGGCAATCAAGTCTGAGCGGTTACATTCCACTTACACCTTGATTACTGGTAGTTGCTGCAGCTGGGAGGAGCACTACATATTCCTGGCTCTCCCAGTAATTAGCTGCCAGATTCTTGAAAGCAAGTAGTGAGTAGGTCTTTCAGCAATCCTTGTTCTGAGCTCCTCAACCTTTCATTCCTTTTTTCTCCTGCCCCTAGACATTGCCTTTCTACCTTGCCCCTTGACCGAGTCTGTTTGCTTCTGCCCCTGTCTGATTTGTTCTGTCAAAGCTGTAGGATCCAAGCCTGGATACCAGACCTGCCTGTTGCATCTGTCCCTCTTTGTGCCTCCTGTTACAGATTTTCTGTCCTGGATCCCAGCCTTCGCTCTCGTCTATCCCCTCTGTAAACCTAAGTCTCATGGACTGCTTATCTGTGCATGACTCCCCCATTATCCTTAGTCCTATCCAGTACTGTCAACATTTGGATCAGTCAACATTTCGATCAGTCTAAACAGAGCCACCCCATCAATCAGCAGAACTTGGTCAAAAACCTCGCTTCTGAGAAGGTTAGCCACTGTTCAGTGAACCTTCAGCCCCATTGAGTTGTTCTCCTCGCTGCAGGGATTCTTATACCTACAACACTAATTTACCTTTGAATAAACCTTTCAAATACTTAGTACCTGCGTCTGCTGAATTACTGGGTCTTCAGATTCTGCTTCAGTATTACAGAATCAGTAACATTATCATCCTGCTAACCTGGTGCTTTGCCTTTAGCAATAAATATATCCATCTGATGGCTTATATTTGATTGAGACCTGTTAAGTTTTGCTTTAAAATGCAAGCAAAGTTAATTCAAAGTATCATTTTTGTGTGTGTATGAAATTTCTTTTATACAAAATCCAAATAAGTTGGTGATCATTTCTCGATCATAAGCAGCATTCGATGCAGGACCAGCAGGTTCTGTAATAGCTTTCCCCCCTCTGCCACTATTGAACTGTTGAAAACTTTAATCAAGTCACAAATTGAGACTTTGGATCACACTGATAACATCATACTTGCACTACATGGTGAATCTTCAAAATAGAACCCAACTGTTTCAACTGTATTTTGCACCATATCTATTTATCTGTTTTTACACTGCTCTGAACCTTCCAGATCACTGCCTTTTGCATCATGTCTCTCTCACACTGTTTACATTTTGCTCCATGTCTCTCCTACGCTGTTTACATTTCGATCACTGCTGCACTTTATAAATTGAAATGTTCATTTTCACTGCTAAGCTGCTGCCCATTCATGGTCGGAAAGCTGTATGTAATTAAATTAAATTTTGTTTTGATATGGCTCCCCAAATCTTTATGCTCATGCAAATTGCCAAAAATTACATATAGGAATATTGCAGGCCCAAATGCATGAGTACGAAATCACTTTGCATTTCTTTCTCATTATTGAAGCCAAAACTGAGATTGTTACAGCTTTTGATGTAAGGGACTAAAGAGGTCTTAAAATGTAAGTTTTTTTCAGCAATGAAAATAATCTCTCAAGAAAACATGCATAAATGGGTCTTCAAGGTCTGACTCTCCAAGGAAGTTTGTTCTGTCTGCAGATGGCTACAAAAATTTCCAAAAACCATCCAGTCTCATCAAGGTACCTAAAGCAGGTTGTTGTCATTTTTGATCTAATGGTATATCTGTCTACATTTGGAGATTAGCTTTGCCTACTTTCACCAGTTTGCTGAAACAAACAAACAAACAGACAAACAAACAAACAAACAAACAAACAAACAAACAAAAAAACAAAAAAACAATAGATAAAAACAATGACCAGGCAAAAAAAAAAAACTGTTAAGCAATGCAGCTTGCTTCCCAAAGCCTTTTTGTTTTCATTTGCATGTTTTTGTTGTTTTTTTTGTATGAAACAAAGTGTAAAGTTTTGCAAGCCCCAATTTACATTTGTAAGAAGAAATAAGTTAGAAAAGTGAAAACATAGAATATGTTAGAGTGCCACATAAATGATAGAAAAAATTTCAGTTTTTTCAATTTCAAGGCCAGTCTGTCTGCTCTTGTTATAATTAAGCTGCTTCCTCAGAGAAACCATTGCACATCCAACAAAACACAAAACATTTTTTTATTCTGAAATTCATACAGTTTTCGTGTAATTGTAATGTACATCCATAAATGTCTGTTTTCAGGCATCAATGTATGCAGCAGACTTTTTCTTGTAGTAAATTAATCCAGAGGTCAGGAGAAGTGACCCAGTCAGCAGTCCACAAAGACCAACCGCAACCTGACCTTTTTCTTCCACAGTGAAGGAGTCACCTGAAAGTGTTTAAGTACAATGGGTTAATGTTGCCTCTATTCTGTGTAATATACACCAGATTGATAAGCTTACCCCAGACAATAGTTTGTGGTTCAGAGAGCGCTGAATGTTCAACCATGCAGCTGATTCTTTCTCCAGACGTCGGGGCGTACTCCAAATAAGAATGAGACTGGTAGTAAAATTGCCCATCAGGAATCACATCTGTGTAACTGACCCCTTCGGTGACTTCTTGTCCATTTCGTAGCCAGGTTAGTTTGATTTGTTTTGGATAAAAGTTGTAAGCACTGCACTCAAGCATGACTGGGTGTTGACCATAATTCTGTTTGATGAGTTTTAACCTAATGATGGGTGTTGCTGACAGGTTTCCTAAAAGAATATTGGTTATTATTTTATTATTATTAAATTATTTTTCATCATAGCTTGAAAATGTCACATTTTTGTATTATTTTATCTATTACTTTACAAGGCAGGCAAGTAAATGTTAACCAAAATGCACCATACTGTAAATTACCTGCACAGAAAAGTTCAACATTTTTTTTAAACTTAAAAGTCCCAATATCTTTATAACAAACAAGTTAACTCCATCCCATATCATTAATTAAAGCTAAACTAAAACCCAAATTTTTATTGTTAAAAAGAAAAGCTCTTACCTATGGTTTGGATAAAGTTTATATTGTCATAACACAAAAGTTTCTTTTCCATTTTTCTTAGAAGATGATCAAGAGGATCCTTGTTCCAGTTATATGAAGTCATGATTGAATAGTTTGTAAATCCAATCCAGTATCCCCTTGTACTGTTGTACTGCATTAAACTTTGCTTGTTAAAACTAGTTACAACAATGTATTCAATATCATTGAAGTTTGGACCCTTGAATGAACAACATCCTTTGACCTGGTAAAAATCTTCATCTGAGAAAACTGTTGAAAATTGCCAGAAATCCGTTTTAAGTTATTGTCCTAACAAAGTTTTAGATTAAACTTAAATATGAAACAAAATCAGAATAAATAAATTAAACTCACCTGGACTTTCAAGAGATAAAAAAATAGTCAATAGAAAACTATAGACGTTCATGTTTCGTTAGCAGTTTGGCACAAAAAGATGCAGACCTTTAATGGTGTGTAGAGCTTATTTGTTTCACAGTTAAGAGGAAGTAAGTGTAGTTCTTCAGCGTATTGTTATTTAAGACCAAAACCAGTTATTGATACCTCTGATTTTTTTTTTTCTATGAGCAAAGAATATTTAGAATTTATCAATTATTTTCTTGTCTTATTGGTTTCAAATCACGACTGGTATCTCATCACTTCAAGACTAAAATAGCTACTGAATGTGTAAAAGCAATCTACTCTTTTAATGCATGATTAATTTCATGATTTATATCTTAAATTAGTCATATAGTGCTTATTATCCTTTTGTTAAAATATGTGGCTACTTTGAATACGCAAATAACAATAATATACATTCCTATTTCCTGATATTGCTACAAAAACTAGTCTGTTCACTGAGCACTAAAATGAGCAAGCCCCTTATTGTTGTGTTAGTGTGCTATCACTTCGACATATCAACTTCACCTAAGACGGTAAACTTGATATGTCGAAGTGATGGCACATATATACTTATGCCATGTATAGAGGGAAGCAAATGTTGCTCCACTTCCTTTGGTTTTAACAACAGCGGTGAGATACACGTTCCTCTGTTTCTGGTTTTGAGTTATACTTCTTGTTTCATACCAGAGTTCCCTAATGCCCCTTCTTCCAAAAAAGTAAAAAAAAAAAAAAAAAACGGACAACTGGACTTTGTTTTCCAAGTTTGAAGACATTTCGCTTTTCATCCAGGAAGCTTTTTCATGATGTGAAAAAACTTAGCAAATAGACTGAATGTTTATTGTTTCATTTGTGCAGGTTTGAGCCTTTAAAAAGGTCATTTGTAATAGGGAGACCAGGCCACCGCTACACAGGCGCATGGCTCAACACAGGAGGGCCAACTCCTCAGGACAGAACTGAGCCGTTCAATTACACCTGAAGGCTAAAGGAGACTTGTTTGAGGACAACTTCAATATTCTGACGAAGACAGATGAGTTGAGCGAGGTGATGAGGAAGCCATCTTTGTCAACCTGGGAAAAATATCTCTCAACAGAGGAGGTGGTCTCAGATATAACCTTTCACCCACTGCATGTCACAAAAACCACTCTCACAAAGAAGTTTATGACCCATCAAAACCCTCTAATGGACATTAACACCTCCCAGGTGACCTCCATGGCCAATCCAGTAGGAGGGATTAAAGCCACCTTTTGTTCTCCCTAAATCTTTGTTACACTTATGGTAGAGTAATCACAATACTCCCCACCACTTGTTAGAAATGAAGAAGCCTCTAGGATGACCCCTGTCCCAATGCCGATCAATATACTTATAAGATGCATTTACATAATCAGTCAAGTGCTTATGAACTCTTTTCAGGTCTTAGTCTTTTTATCAACTTATTTTGAAACACACTGAGATTTAAAAAAGAAAGCATCAAGAGGTTAACTTTCTAAATAGACCGGTGTTGTGCCAAGTTAGTTTATATCCCCTCGCTGGGAGCCCGCATGGCACAGGAGCTGATCGAATTCACCCCGCCTCAATTCCGTAAGGGTACTACAACATACAGAAATTGTAAGTAAATATAAAACACAAATATAGATTTGAGCACTAAATATGACATGGGATAAAGTAATATTCCAATGGGGTGTGTTTGTTTTTATAGGAATATGTTTGACATCAGTTTTGAATTAGATGAGAACGTTTAGACACCATAAAAGAATTACACAATTGTTTTATGGAACATGTTTAAATGAGCAAGAAGCTGTTGGCTTTCAGCAAAAGCAGTTTATACCAGTGGCGGCTGGCCAATAGAGGACCTTCAATAAGACATAAAAAACAAAAAATTACTCAAATTATTAAATTAAAATGTTTCAAAATATACTAATATATTTTTTTGCTGTGCCAAATAAATATTAATTGTTTTAGTTTTTAGGGCACTAGTGGCTCGTTCTAAGGCTGACAGGAAAGGGAGTATGAGAGACTGGGAGAGACATGCGGCAAAGGACCACAGGTTGGGTTTGAACCCAGGTCAGCCGCTCCAAGACTGAGGCCTCTGTACATGGGTTGTGTGTGCTTACTACTGCTCCACCGAAGCACAACCACAAAATGAATTAATCCTTGATGACGAGTAAAGCTGATTTGTTCGTTGTCAGATTGGTGACGTATTTTAGCCCTGGGGCGAAAATATGCCAATAAATCTTTGGCCATTGACTTTGTTAAAAGTTGTACATGCACAGTAGCGTATAATGCAAAAGGACAGGAGTTCCTTCAGGATGCAGATCTCCTGAAGTCCACAGTCGTAGTGGGGCTGATTGACAGGTCAAGTCATGGAAGTGAAATCCCTTAGAGCAAACTAACCAAGAGAAGCTGGAGGTAAAAGCGTTTGGACTTGATCAGCCGAACATCAAAGTTATTCAGCAGTCCAAAGACATGGAGAGGGTACACTCAGTCTTTCTTCAGGACTTGGTTTAGCTGCAAGGCTTGGCTAACTGCATGCAGCAAGGCTAATGCTTTATTCTGCTTACCCTGCGTCCTTTTTCAAATGCCTGGATCTGGAAAATATTATAATATGGTGTACTTATTCAAGGTGTTTGTTAATTTGCATAGTTGCTCTTAAATAACAATTATCAGAAAATAAATAGTTTTTATACATTAAAAAATATAAAGATGAATAACAGCTTCTCCGTTATTTAACTGGTACATTTTCTTTTTTTTAGGTTTGTGACACCATATTGGACCATGCAAAACACAGATTTGCCTTCACAAAGCCTCTTTTTTTATAATGTTTTTTGTTGTTGGCATTCATATAAATATAATGATGTGATAACTTTATATTAGTTACGTGTCTATTTTGAACTTATAGCCTCCCCTGGAGTAAAGTCCACCAGTCGCCACTGGTTTACATGGTTCTTAGCGTCCTGATTTGAAACAAATGCTTTCATGTTTGTTTTTTCTTTTAAATCAAGATCACTGGATATATTCTGCTATAAACTTTGAAGTGAAGAATAAAATAACAACGCTCATCTTTCATAAAGATAACACATCTCAAGTTTCACGTTTAGTAGTTTGGAACTGAGGCAGAGTGAACTTTGTGCATGCTCCCTAGAAGGGGGTACAAATTCTGGGGATACATATTCTTTGTCCTGGTGTTGTATGAAATTTTGTTTCTCTTGTGTCGAGAGCGCATTGAAGGCAGAGAGGCTGACGTGGCGGATGACAGACATTTTGAATTGAGAATTAAAATACATTTCATAAAGATCATCAAACCAACAGTCATATTTTTTTATTATCTTGGATTTCAAAATATAAAATAATAAATGTTTCAAACATAATATAGAAAAATAATGACATTTTCAAAATTCACAGGATTTGTTTATTTTTTTCCCCCATGTTATAGGGGAAACAGATTATATCAGGTGGCTAAAATATTTGATTTCCCTCTTTTAACTCAGGCAAATAATGATCAAATATCACCAAATCCACAGAGTTTGTTGTTGATGAAGAGAGGAATAAACGCAGTTAAGGACTTGCAGGTACATTTATTTAATCCCTTATTATGGAAGGGGGTCGGATTATTTCAGTCAGCTAAAATTTGTGGTTCCCCCCTCATAACTCTAGTAAATAAGGAACAAAAACTACCACAACACAGGGTTTCTTGTTGAGGAAGTAAGGAATAAACACAGTTAAAGACTTGCAGATAAATAAATTTCTTCCCATGTTATGGAGGGGGAATTGTTATGTGTGACAGCATGTAGTATTCTAGAAATTTCTTTAAATTAGTAATCTGTCATATTTTACATTAGAATGGGATTTACCAGAAAGTCTCTACTCTCATCTTCACCCTCAGGGCTAAGCCCTTGATCTCCTAGAATCCTAGATCCACCCCTGGTTGAAATATTCTTAACAAATTTTCACGTAAATAAAAAGTTAACCTGGATGTAAGTTGTTAAAAAAACTGTAAATTTTACTATATGGAATAAGTCTTGGCAACTTTCCCTTAAACGTGTCATGATCCTAACGCTGATGCCTTTGGTGTGAGAGTTTTCTAGCATTACCAATAGTGTTCTATTTGCCTTATCCTGACCCGTTTTTGCCTTCGGACCTTGGAGGCTGCCTGTCAGTGCTCTGATCTGTTTGCCTGCCTGTCTTCGGACTCCTGTTGAATTCCTCTTGTGGACTGTACCTGGATCTGTCTTCTGACTTCACCCTGTGGATTATCCTGCCTTCCTTTGTCTATTTGGATCTGACCTCCTGCCAGTTCTGCAGCCTTCAAGGCTTCAACATCTGGAACTCTCTGGCTGTGTTCGCTATGTCTTGTCAGCCTACTGGCTGGAATCTGTCACATTCTCTTGGCACAGAATGCACTGTTAAACCAGGCTAGTGACTCACGTGTTCATAATCTTCCCCTGTCAGATTATCGTGGTCACTAACCTGTGTTTCTCTCTGGCAGAGGTTGCTGCCTTAGTTGCCCTAGCAGCTGCCACTGCAGATTTGCAGTTCTAAGAAACACTTTTTGAGTAATCCCACTGTCTGTCTTGCCTTGAATACTGGGTCCCCTGTTCTGACCTGTGACAAAACGGCTCTCTTTTCACTTTTGAACTCTATATAAAAAGTTTAAACAAAAAAAAAAATATTTGAGAACGTTTTATTCTATTATAGCCATGAAAGGAAATGAACATAACTCTTTGAACATGAAGTCAATCATAACAACTTCGATGAAATAATAAAAATAATCCTGAACGAATTAAAGGTTTCCCAGGAATGACAAAAATGAAAGTCTGTGATATGTAAATGATCTTAAAAGGAAACAATATATATTTAATTATTTCATGTATTAATCAGCAAAATCTTGACCGTCACAACACATCTTTCATTTCACAAAAAAGAAAATTCCCGCAGCAATTCCAAGAATCCCTAGAATCAAACCAGAGATACAGAAGACAGTTGGACCCATACTCCTCTCTTCTGTTTCAACATCTAAAGAGAATTAGAGTAGAAGATTAAACATGACATGTAGCACACAAGTAAAGTTAATTCAGGTTTTTATCAAACCAAATAATATAAAAAAAATCTTAATATCTCACCCCATGTCCTGGTCTCAGGTTCCTCTAGTGCCTCATGTTTTACAGTGCAGCTGTAGATGTCTCCTTGCTTTGGAACAAAGTTCAGATAGGAGAAGACATGAAATGTCCCATCAGAGTTGGATACAATTTTGAAGAAGGGGTCTTCCACTGCCACTTCTTTATTATTCTTGGTCCAACTGATGTTGAGCGCAGGAGGGTAAAATTTGTTGATGAAGCACACAAGGGTGTTCTCTTCATCTTCACACAGCTCATTTCTCAGGTAAATAATAATTTCTGGTCGGTCTAAAAATAATCAACTGACAAGTTATTTCTTACATGCTTTAATTATGATCCTGTAATATTTGGCTGAACAGTAACAACTGAAAGGACGAGCTCCACCTACCTGTAGTCCTTCTAACATCTGGGTCTACTTTCCATCGATATATATCTTTTTTACATTGAACTTGACACACTTCTGCATATTTGTAAGCCCATTCATATTCAACAGCTGTTGCTAGTTTGCTGTCCCAAACCAAAATGTTATTTTTAAAATCTGCATAACACACTTCATCGTCATTCAATGTCACAGTGAGGAAGATGCCACTCGAGTCAAAGCATCCATAGGTAAAACAAAGTTGGTGACCTCCTAAAAAAGAGTTTAACAGTATAAATGAACAATAAGAGGAAAATAAATCAATCAACTCTATGTAGGTTGAATACCTGCTGCACAGGTGAAATGGCCTTGAAGGAAAAATAAAGATACTAAGTACAGATCCACTGAATTGTCCGTCCTACCATTCCTATTGTCTTTGTTCTAAATATTCAATCAACACACATATCGATTATATATACCATTTAATGACAGTAAATCGCTGTAATTATTACTAACTACCTTTAATGCAATTAGTCAATTTGCTAGTTAGAGATGAAGACCTTTTTACAAGTGTCTAAAGAGCCACAGGTTGCAGACCTCTGCTATGGGCTTTAGTTTTTGTTTTACAGCACTGTTTGAAAGTCTTACTGTACTAAAGGTTTAATTGCTGCCCTGTAGCTTTTCTTTCTTTCCCAAATATAATTTGTTTTTAATATTTGTACCTCTCTGCTTCATTGTTCTATCTTATTTTCTCCAGTGTCTTCAGTTTCATTTTTAAAGGAGTGTTTCATTAAACTCATTCAGAAAAGCTAATGTTATTATAATTTTAATAAAGCAGTGCCAATTTTGTGTTGTGACAAGAAATTAAAATGATTCTAGTGACACTTTAGTAAAATACTTCTCTACCATTTTAGTTTACGTCTGTAGATTTCAGTCATAGTTTTAGTGTCAACTAGAGCTGCTTTAATTCAGATTTATTTAGATTTTAGTCAAAAATATTTCTTTGGCTAAAAGAAAAGTAAAAATTACAATCCAATAAATTGTTTTATTCAATTATTTCCCCACATTTACTCTTTAAGTAAGATCACAGTGAGATTTGCACTTTTAAACAGGTGAAAAGTAAGTACAAAAAACGTATTTAAAGTAGTAAGCAATAATTGATGACCTTGTCTTTATTTGACCAAGGCCAAAATTAAACATTTTTGTATTATTTTAATTATTATATTATTATATTATAGTCAGTGTTATCCAAAACACATCCTAAATTATCTACGCATAAATCAAAGCAAAAGTAGATTATTCTTTTTTATATCTTAAAATACTCAATATCTTTATAATAGATAAGTTCACAGTCTTCATTCCATAATGTTACATCAATCTAAACTAAAACCCAATATTATATTGTTCAAAAGTAAAGCTCTTATTTATGGTTTGGATAAAGGGTATATTGCCATAACAAAGATGTTTCTTTTCCATTATTCTTTGAAGATGATCAACAGGATCCTTGTTCCAGTCATGATTGAAGATTTATGAATCTAGTCCAGCTTCCTCTTTCACTGTATTTACTTTGTTTAAAACTAGCTACAATCATGTATTCAACATTCTTAAAGTTTGGACACTGAAAGAACAAAATGTTTTGACCTGTTAAAAAATCTTTATCTGAGAAAACTCTTTAAAATTGACAGAAATCAGTGTGTTTTAAATTACTGTCCTAACAATAATTTTAGATGAAATTAAGATAGAACAGAAAAAACAAAAGAAAAAGCTAAACTTACCTGGACTTTCAAAAGATAAAAAGAGAGTCAATAGAAAACTATAGACGTTCATGTTTTGTTTGCAGTTTGGGACAAAAAGATGCAGATCTTTACTGGTGTGCAGAGCTTTTTTGCTTCACAAAAAAGAGGAAGTGGGTGTAGTTTTGCGGCATAAAAATAAAATGAATAAATGCTTCCATATTGATTATTTAAGACAATTACCTTATTAGATTTTCTTTTTTTCAGCAAATAATATTTATATTTTTAAGTAATGTAAAACTAGCATTTAATTAAAATTCATTTTATATTCTTTTGGATTTGATTTCAGTCCATTTCAGAATCAGAATCAGAATTTCAGAAACCTATCAGAGACTTTATCACTACCTTGCAGGAAATTCTTTCCTTGCGGTGCAAATATTTAAGAGAAAATTGTTAGTAAAAATAAGTATATACAATCAACAGTATTTAGAATTTACATTGCAGCTCAGCACTGAATTACAATCATTGCACGTGACCATGTTATTACACATAGTGAGTAATTAATTTGTAAAAGATATGCTTGTTTTAAAAGTTGTAAAATTGCCCTTGTTTAAGGTTTTGTAGTCTGGTTAGTTTTGTCTGTTTTTCCCATATTTGACTTATTTCCTATTTTAAAACCTGCAAAGGCCTAGTCAAGTATTATGACTATAAACAAACAAAAAAGTATGTATTTATCTTAAAAAAAAACTATATATTTCAGCAATCAGCAGACTTCAGCAATCAGCAGAGATAAATATAGTTATGTGCCATCTGTTAACAGTTTATCTGAGCAAACGCGGGCTGCTCAGTGGCGCAGTGGGTAGCACTGCCCCCCATTTTCTCCCTGAGCATGCATACGTTCTCTCCGGGTGTTCCGGCTTCCTCCCACAGTCCAAAAACATGACTGCTAAGTTAATTGATTCCTCTAAATTCTCCTTAGGTGTGAGTGTGTGACTTTCTTGCGAGCATACCGCATGATCTCCAACTGTTAGGGGATTGTCCACCCAGTGTGTGAAGTCAGGATTCGGTGGATAGTGCGGAGGAACTACTTCTTGTGATCAACGGGCTGAAAGGCGATTGCCAGCAATGTGTCGTGGAGCGCATAGGGCGTGACAGGACACGTAGGACGTCACGGCTATTCACTGCATCCATCTCGTCTCCAGTCGTCTTCACCTGTCTTGCCACTGGATCTAGATGGTTGCGCAACTCTTCCTCACTTTAATCAAAGTCATAGTGCAAGTCATCTATCATCCTTCCATCCCATACCCTTTGACCCCAACTTCCCCAACCATAGGATGAATATATGGTCCTCGTCGTATCAACGGATGAACACATCTGAGCAAACTAGGAACTTTAACAATAGTGAATATAGTACGTATAAATTAACATAGCTGTAAGGGCTAAGCCGACGCTTAAAGCCACTGGAGTGTTTTTAAACCGGAATCTTATAGTTGACACGCTTTGACGGGGTGAGATTTTGAAAAGGAAATGTCCAGACGCTGTTCTTGCTGTTTAAAGGCTGATTTATACAGTGGGGGAAATAAGTATTTGACCCCTTGCTGATTTTGCAGGTTTGCCCACTTACAAAGAATGCAACAATCTATAATTTCAATCATATGTACATTCTAACAGTGAGAGACAGAATCCCAAAGAAAATTCCAGAAATTCACATCATATGAATTTATAAAAATTGATAACCATCAGATGAGGAAAAACAAGTATTTGACCCCCTACCAAACAGCAAGTATTCTGGCTCCTACAAGCCAGTTACTTTTTCTTTAAGACACAGCCCCAATCTCAACCAATTATCTACATCAAATACTCCTGCCTCACCTCATTACCTGTATAAAAGACACCTGTCAACACCCAAACAACCAGCATCCAATATCACCACCATGGGCAAGACCAAAGAGCTTTCTACGGACATCAGGGACAAGATTGTTGATCTGCACAAGGCTGGGATAGGCTACAAGAGAATCGGAGAGCAACTTGGAGAGAAAAGATCAACTTTCAGTGCAGTTATCAGGAAATGAAAGAAGCACCACACCACCCCCAACCTCCCTCGGCCTGGGCCTCCACACAAGATCTCGCTTCGTGGGGTGTCCCTGATCATGCGTACGGTGAGGAATCATCCCAAAACCACAAGGGGGGAACTGATGAATCAACTGAAGGCAGCATGGTGCACAGTTACAAAAGAAATGGTTGGTAAATACTTGTTTTTCCTCATCTGATGGTTATCAATTTTAATAAATTCATATGATGTGATTTTCTGGAATTTTATTTGGGTTTCTGTCTTTCACTGTTAGAATGTACATATGATTAAAATTATAGATCGTTGCATTCTATGTAAGTGGGCCAACCTGCAAAATCAGCAAGGGGTCAAAGACTTATTTCCCCCACTGTAACTTCCCTTCTTTTATAGAGCTTGTACATAATGGCTTCTACAATAGCATTGCAATAACTGGTATCATTCTGATCAAAGGGCTGGTTAAACTCCAGCAGCAGTGTGTAGCAATGAGTAGCATGTAATGACGCACTAACGCACTAACTGAAATATTTCAGGTCTTTTGTTGTCTTAATGAGGATGATTTTCACATACAGCTCATGAAAACCCAAAATTCCTATCTCACAAAATTAGTCTATTTCATCGGACCAATAAAAAAAAAAGTGTTCTTAATACAAAAACAGTCAACCTTCAAATACAGTACAGTTATGCACTCAATACTTGGTCAGGAATCCTTTTGCTGAAACGACTGCTTCAGTGCGGCGTGGCATGGATGCAATCAGCCTGTGGCACTGCTGAGGTGTTATGGAGGCCCAGGATGCTTCGATAGCATACATGATACACTCATTCCGAGTGTTTGGTCTTGCGTCTCTCAACTTTCTCTTCAAAATATCCCACAGATTCTCTATGGGGTTCAGGTCAGGAGAGTTGGCAGGCCAATTGAGCACAGTGATACCATGGTCAATAAACCATTTACCAGTGGTTTTGACACTGTGAGCAGGTGCCAGGTCATGCTGAAAAATGAAATCTTCATCTCCATAAAGCTTTTCAGCACATGGAAGCATGAAGTGCTCCAAAATCTCCTGATAGCTAGCTGCATTGACCCTGCCCTTGATAAAACACGGTGGACCAACACCAGCAGCTGACATGACACCCCAGTCCATCACTGACTGTGGGTACTTGACACTGGACTTTTGGCATTTTGGCATTTCTGCCTCTCCAGTCTTCCTCCAGACTCTTGCACTTTGATTTCCAAATGACATGCAAAACTGAGCAACAGTCCAGTGCTGCTTCTCTGCAGCCCAGGTCAGGTGCTGCCGCAGTTTTTCTGGTTCAAAAGTGGCTTGACCTGGGGAATGCGGCACCTGTAGCCCATTTCCTGCACACGCCTGGGCACGGTGGCTCTGGATGTTTCTACTCCAGACTCAGTCCACTGCTTCCGCAGGTCCCCTAAGGTCTGGAATTGGCCCTTCACCACAATCTTCCTCAGGGTCCGGTCACCTCTTCTCGTTGTGCAGCATTTTCTGCCACACTTTTTCCTTCCCAGACTTCCCACTGAGGTGCCTTGATACAGCACTCTGGAAACAGCCTATTCATTCAGAAATATCTTTCTGTGTCATACCCTCTTGCTTGAGGGTGTCAATGATGGCCTTCTGGACAGCAGTCAGGTCGGCAGTCTTACCCATGATTGGGGTTTTGAGTGATGAACCAGGCTGGGAGTTTTAAAGAGCTCAGGAATCTTTTGCAGGTGTTTAGAGTTAATGTGTTGGTTCGGATGATTAGGTGCATAGCTCGTTTAGAGACCTTTTCATGATATGCTAATTTTGTGAGATAGGAATTTTGGGTTTTCATGAGCTGTATGCCAAAATCATTATTATTATGTCAATGTCATTATTATATTGTATTATATTGTCATTATTAAGACAATAAAAGACCTGAAATACTTCAGTTAGTGTGCAATGAATCTAAAATATATGAAAGTTCAAGTTTTATCATTACATTATGGAAAATCGTGAACTTTATCACAATATGCTAACATTTTGAGAAGAACCTGTACTTTGCATTCTGGCTTCTCTAAAAGAGATAATATATGTGTATGGCTGTTCCGTGTTTACTAACTTACATGTGCATTATTGTTGCGCTGGGCCAATGGTCTTTCTTTGTTAAATGCACAATATATGCTAGAACAAAAGCAAAACAAAAATGGAATAAAATAATCCAACACTGTGTGGTAACTTAATAGAAAGAACTTTTTATGCCACCAGAGTCAGTTACTGGTGTAATAATTGCGAAGGTCATAGCTTGTGACTAGATGCTTGTAGTATGGAACTTTTATCGGCTGTTTTGGAAATTTTTAAACTCTACTTGATTTCTGCATGGCACTATAAGGATATGCAAAATAGACACGAGCTGAACAAATAAACCAGATGGTCCAATCAAACAGTTTTAATGCTTAAGCTATTTAATGGTGTCCTGCATTTTTTATTTCTGAGTTAAAAATGGTTTAAATCCACTGAATATTAAGATGAGAATAACAATTTGCAGAGTAAGATCTCCCTCATAAACTACAGACTTCAAAACCAATATGGTTACTGCATGTTTATAAGGTAGCAATCTACTCTTTACTTGCATGATTACTTTCATACCGTAAATTCTCTAATATTGGCCTGTATTCCAATAGCGGCCGGGTCTCTAATAATGGCCGGTCTCGCTGTCAGAGGAGGTAAATAATGGCCGGTCTCTAATACAGGCCGGGGCTATAAACGTTTTTTCTGGGCAAACCTCAACATTATACTTGTGGTAGTAAGTAACATACAAGTACCACAGCCCTGCGCAGCTGAACGACAAGCCCTGCTGCTGCCCGTCTGCGCGAGGAAGAGAACAGACACGCAGCAGAACAGGAGGAGCAGCGCGAGTGATGAGGAGAATAAAGGGAGAGATGAAGAGGAGGAGGAAACTGAGGAGGAGAATTAAACAGAATTGGAGGATTTTTATATTTTTTTTTTACTTAAAACCAAGCGAGACATGGTAACTGTACTTTTTCAATAAATGAACCTAGTGTTTTATAGGTTCAAATAGACACAAAATCTCATTTTTATTCATTCCACTGGTAGTCTGCTTTGCTCAAATAGCAATAGAGGCCTGTCTCTAATTCTGGCCTCTATCCAATAAAGGCCTGGACCGCGATGCACTTGAGTGAAATAAAGGCCCGGGCCTATATTAGAGAATTTACGGTAAATTGTTTCTTAAATCAGTCATATAGTGCTTATTATCCCTTTTCTTGAAATATGTTGCTACTTTGAATGCGCAAATTGCAGTGATATACATTCCTATCGGCTGGTATTACTACAAAAACTTGTCTGTTCAGTGAGCACTAAAATGAGCAAGCCCCTTATTGTTCAAAGTCCTAGGTGAAATATACCTTTATTCTCATGACATGTATAGAGAGAAACAAACAATGCTCCACTTCCTTTGGTTTTACCGCCAGTGGTGAGATACATGTTCCTCTGTCTGAAGTTAAAATTCTTGTTTCACACCTGAGTTCCTTTATGCCACTTCTACTCTAATAATCTTCTTGCTTCTTCTATGTTGTCCCTTCTTTGTAATTGACAGTCAGGTCCTTTATTTGACCATAACTTTATCCTATCCTCCCAAAATATGTGAAAGCTAAAGCCTTACTAGTATGTCAAAAAAAGCAGTAGTAAATCTCACAATGATAAAGAAGTAAAGAAATTAGAAAGTGCAAACATTGCATACATTTGTAAAATGTATGTAAAATCTTCAAGATGCTTCGATCAATCAAAATTCTTATTGGGTGGCTAAACAGAAACGTTTATTTACAGTTGGATGTTTTGTATTCATGCTGATTCAATTCGGAGTTTAAATGTTCCAAACACATTTTTGCACTTAATTAAAACATTAACATGGCTGCGAACTGTCAGTTTACTCTATAAGGATTAAGTCCTATCAACATTTTCTTGAAAGGCTCTTTTTATTTTATGAACTCCATTTCAAAAGTACAAAAGAAAATTTGAAGGCTTGATAAACATTTGTCGTTTATTATAGCCATGAAAGAAAATTGACATCATTCTTTGAACACGAAGTCAACCATAATATGTTCCAGAAAAATATAAAAAGATGAATTCCAGATTAATTAAAGGTTTGCAAAGCATGACAAAAAAGGAAAGTTTGTGATATGTAAACAATTAAAGTAGAAAACATCTCTATTTAATTATTTATATATGTATTATATATTGATTAGTGTTGCACCGATACCGATACCAGAATCGGACGGGGCCCCGATACTGCCCTAAAATGGTGGTATCGGTATCGGTGAGTACCAACAAATAGGGCACCGATACCATTTTGAGAGCCATAAGTTTATTCAACTATTGTCACCCACTCCTGGTAGGCAATAAAAAGTTCTACTGGATTCACTTTGTATTAGATTTTTTCCTGCTTCACAAAGGTAGGCAGCAGCTTGACAAAGCCATGATGGCAATTATTTTACATTATTATGGTATCGGTATCGGCCGATACTGCACAGCCAGGTATCGGATATCGGTATCGGGGCCAAAAAATGGCATCGGCGCAACACTAATATTGATTAATCAGCAAAATCTTGGGCGTCCTTTCACAAAAAGGAGAGTTCCCCCAGCAATTCCAAGAACCCCTAGAATCAAACCAGAGATACAGAAGACAGTTGGACCTATACTCCTCTCTTCCGTTTCAACATCTAAAGAGAATGAGAGTGCAGAGAAAACATGACATGTAGCAAACAAACAAGTAAAGTTAATTCAGGTTTTGATCAATTATGTTTACTGAGTCAAAGAATATAAAAAATGATTTTAATGTCTCACCCCAGGTCCTGGTCTCAGGTTCCTCTAGTGCCTCATGTTTTACAGTGCAGCTGTAGATGTCTCCTTGCTTTGGAACAAAGTTCAGATAGGAGAAGACATGAAATGTCCCATCAGAGTTGGATACAATTTTGAAGAAGGGGTTTTCCACTGCCACTTCTTTATTGTTCTTGGTCCAACTGATGTTGAGCGCAGGAGGGTAAAATTTGTTGATGAAACACACAAGGGTGTTCTCTTCATCTTCAATGAGCTCATCTCTCGGGTAAACAATCATTTCTGGTTGGTCTAAAAATAATCAACTGACAAGTTATTTCTTTCATGCTTTAATTATGATCCTGTAATATTTGGCTGAATAGTAACAACTGAAAGGACGAGCTTCACCTACCTGTAGTCCTTCTTACATCTGGGTCTACTTTCCATCGATATATATCTTTTTCACATTGAACTTGACACACTTCTGCATATTTGTAAGCCCATTCATATTCAACAGCTGTTGCTAGTTTGCTGTTCAAAACCCCAATATTGTTTTTAAAATCTGCATAACCCAACTCATCATCATCCAATGTCACAGTGAGGAAGGTGCCACTTGAGTCAAAACACCCAAAGGTTACACAAAGTTGGTGACCTCCTAAAAAAGAGTTTAACAGTAGAAATGTGCAAATAAGAGGTAAATAAATCAAACATCTCTGTGTCGGTTACTTACCTGATGCATGGGTGGAACAGCATTGAAGAAAAAATAAAGATACAAAGTACAGATTTTTCAATCTCCACTGAATTTGCTGTCCTGCCATTCTTATTGTCTCTGTTCTAGATATTCAGTAAAAGTGTGATTAGACCAGACGGACTCAGTTGTGCTGGGATTTCCTCAGTGCAAACTAAAAACTGTTGACAAGTGAGGAAGCTGGGTTGATAAAAATCCTGTTGAACAACTTTAAAATGTCCCCAGTGATTTTCACAGACTGCAGAGTAAAGCTGTTTGAAATTTGGTCAATTCAAACATCAATACTACTCTATTTTTCAAACAAAATGTGTTATTGTTAAAAATTCTATTCAGTTTCTGATTTTTTTCTAAATCAGTTCTCTTTTTATTTAGATTGCGATTCAGTTCATTGAGTTAAGCTGGTTTTTTTTTCTCTCAAGGTTTAGTTTTAGGTTTTAATTTTTTTCTTCAGCCCTATTTTCTTTCATTTCTTCAGTCTAACTTTACAAGAGTTTTCTATAAAACTCAATAAATGAAGCCAGACTTAGATGCATAACTTTATTTAACTTAGACACAGCATCTGCCCATGGTTTTAGCATTAACCAGAATTACTAGGTTTTACCAAACTAGACAGCTCACTCAGTTAATATTACAAATGCAAAACATTTTTAACTAATCAATGTCTGTACTTTTCCACTGAGAAACCATGGCGATACTGGTATTACTGTAAAGAGAAAATCTCAACCCTAATTACCTTTGAAAAAAACAGCTGTAATAAATGATGAAACACATCGAAATCTCTCATAAAATCAGGCTGAAAGAAGTGTGCGGTCATCTACTGGTATGACTTCTGAGAGAAATAACAGCAACTAACCGTTGCTACAGAGCAACTGTCTTTGCATTAAGCAATGAACAGTACAGAGCCAAATTATTCATAGGTGTATGCATACCTCGCAAATAAAGTAGATTCTGTTGTATTTTGCTGTAAACACATGCCCAAATCGATGTGGGGCATGATGTGATTGGCAAATAAAAACAACTTATTAATAGAAACATGTAAACTCTTAGTTAAATATATTTAAGTTAACATCTCTCATCTAGGCAAGTGAAATTCATATAACTACTAAACTATATTGATATTATTCTCAGCTGATATGATGATTCTTAGCAAATGACAACACTAACTTTTAAATTATCACATTGACTAAGGCAATAATTAACTCACACTATCAGAATGCTTGATTAGTGATGCTGATCCAAGTTAAATTGATAATAACGTCATAAGAAATACAACCTAATTTAAGTATTGTTTGGCATGAGATGTTTCTGGTGATCGCACAAAATGCTCATAGGGTTTTGTTAGGCTTATTATAAGGTTCCTTTTTAAAAATACTTGCTTTCAACAAGGAATAGAACATATATGACATCAATGGGTTTCTTGCACTGCTGTAATCAATCAGACATTATAATCTTCAGTAATATTAAATGTTAAGTATTGTTCAACATCGTTAATGTGTAGATGATTATATAAACATCATGTTCTGACCTGGTAAATATTGTTTAGAAAATGTTTTGGAAAAGGTGAGATATAAAGGTTAGAGACAGAGCTAGAAAAACCCAGCCACGTGCTTTAATGGAAAATGGGGGAAGTTTACCTTTACAAAACAATAAAAAAAAAAAAAAAAAAAAAAAAAAAAAAGTTGATTATTCAGAATTTAGGCAATGAATGAGAAAAGCTTCTAGGGAGTGTGGTATGGATGACAGCTGAGTGGATGTATATGCAAGTGTAGTTTCTAACAAAAGTGCACCCCTAACATGTTTCTGCATACCACAACAGATATAAGA